ACTGTTGCAGGATTAGAACTATCTCTGCTGGCTGCTTTGCGGGAAGCCAGCTGACTTAGCAGGCCCCCGCTCCTAGAGCCAGAGTAGAGAAGCACAGTGCTGCTGAGGCTTCTGGAGCCTGAAGAAGAAAAATGCCTTCTATCCTCCTCTTGCCTTTTAATCTCCCATTAGCAGAACTGAACTGGCAAGTGAATCTGGGAAATGTTTCTTTTAGGATTCCAGCACCCTTGCAATACAGAGGAGAGAGTAGAAGGAGAAAAGAGCTGAGAGACAACAGACATATAACCAGCACAGTTTAACAACTGGCACGTGGCAGAGTTAATTCTCACACACTGGCTTCTAAGTCCATGTTCTTAACTACTACAGACAATGCTATGACACCATGAAATACTATAACAAGAGGATTTCATACATTTAAAAACTAATGTCATCACAAATGTGGGTTAGCAGCAAAAAAAGTTGTAGGAATTGTATTAATTGAATAGTCCACAAATATTTAGCAAGTTTCTACTTTGTGCCAGGCACTGTTCTACTAGAAATACAATAATGGGGAAATTTTTTTAAAAAAAGAGGAGAATCCCTTTTCTCCCTTTTTTCAGGTTGAACAAAATTGCCTGGGAAGAATTCATATTGGCTTGGCTTGAATCATGTGCCCACCCATTGAACTGACACATAGCTGAGGGGTTGGGTATGTGGAAGTAACCTAGTGGAAATGCCCACTATAACCCTGAGACAAGGATTTGAGTGCAGGTAGTTTATCTGGAGGATTCAGGAAACACCTGTAGGAGGTGGGGAAGTGAGACAAAGAAGGGAAGGCAGTAAATAAAGGGTGCCTTACTAAGCCAGCTGCCACTAGTAATGACTGGAGTGTAATCCCACCGGAAAATTCAGGGAAATGGTATGAAATACATGCCTCAAAGTTATTCCATGTGAGGGGCAAAATAGCTGGGGTTTCTGTATAACATTGCATAAGGGATGCTGAGATGGAAGGTGGATAATTATCAAGCACTTCCAAATTGCCCTAATTGTACTGGGTAGGACTTTCTTCCACCTTTGGAATGCAAAGGGATGCAGACACCTGCAGCTGAAATCTGCCCCAGAACTTTAAAGTGGTAAAAAGCCAGAGAGGTATAGGTAGGGATTTAGAGGGCCTACTATTTATCAGATAAAAATTTCTTCTGTAAAGAGTTATGATTTCCAAATATTTCATGCCTGTGAAAGAGTTTTATAAAGTAGAAAGTATAATACAAAGAGTTATGTAGAAGTTTCTTAAAGGCAGGGAGTATCATGTTTTATATCTCTCATAGGACCCAGTACAATGATATACTAATGTTATTGGCACAAATATTTACTGAGTGAATTTCTAAGTTTAAAAAGGTGGAATTATTATTTTTTAAAATACATTTTATTGATTTTTTACAGAGAGGAAGAGAGAGGGATAGAAAGATAGAAACATCGATGAGAGAGAAACATCAATCAACTGCTTCCTGCACACCTCCTACTAAGGATTTGCCCACAAACCAAGGTACATGCCCTTGACTGGAATCGAACCTGGGACCTTACAGTCCACAGGCCGACGCTCTATCCACTGAGCCAAACCAGTTAGGGCGAGGTGGAATTATTTTTAAACGTTCATTAAAATCCATAACTCATTTCTGCTAACTTCTGAAAGAATTTTTTATCTGTTTCAGGAATTTTAAGTAGCATGGTCTTGTTCTATTCCTGCTATCATATTTCTTAAATCTAGACCATTGCAGTATTTCACTGTGTAAATGTAAGAGAGAAGGAACTCTTACCCTTTGCAACAGCAGGGATGGATCTGGAGATTATGATGCTAAGTGAAATAACCCAGTCAGAGAAAGACAAATACCATATGATCTCACTTGCATGTGGAATCTAATTAACAAAATAAACTGATAAAAAAAATAGGACCAGAGGCATATCTCAGAAGGGAGGAGGGGAAGGGTGACTGGAAGAGAATAGCCAAAGAACATATATGCATAGCCCATGGGCACAGAAAACAATGGGGTGAAGGTGGGTGGCTGGCTGGGGGGAGGGGAGTAATGGGAGGGGGAAATGGACATCTGTAATAGTACCAACAATAAAAAAATCTAGACCAGGGGTGGGAAACCTTTTTGTGAGTGCGTGCCAAAACCAGCAAAATCTCTGACTCAAAATTCTTCTGCATGCCAACCCTAATTTTTTGAGAACATGTTATGCCTACTTGATATCTCTTAAGGTGTACGTATGTGAAGAACCTTGAAGAAATAATAAAATTCATTTGAGCGACAAAAACACAGTATATGATGATGAAAAATACATTTATTTTTTAATGTATACATGTACACTGATAGTCTGACAGAAAACTTTATGACTCCGTTTGATATTATCAGTGGGACTTTTGCTGCTGCATCACTGATGACAGAGATTTTACATCAGGTTTATATTTTGTGACCTTTAGAGATATGCACGAGCTACTACTTTCATCCGTCAGGCTACTCCTATTACGAGACTTAACAAAATTCATCACTGAGAACAAAGATTCACAAGCATATGTGGATGAAACCAAAACACTAGTCGGATCTAGAAAGGCAAGGAGAGTTAAGGCAGAGGCATAGAAATTGCCCTTCCCCTCTCTTGTCAATCCATGTCTATGGTCTTTAAGATAACTTGTTATGTAAAATTACTTATTTATCTAAGATGCACCTACACTGAATTTATCTGAAAAATAAAAAAGTCGATATTAAGAAAAAAATTGTAAATGTAAGATTATGAGAGAGGGTTTCGCGTGCCAGCAAAAGTTACTGGCGTGCCATGTTTGGCACGCGTGCCAGGGGTTGCCCACCCCTGACCTAGACCATTGTAGATAATTGTTCATTGCTTGTCCAATAATCATTCTCTCCTTCCTTCTTATTGTAAAAAATACCTTGATTAGAAGTAAGTTATTGATAGATTATTGCTGGTTCAAACCAATCCTGAGAATGCTACCCTGAGTAGCATGAGGGAAAAGCAAGAAAATCATAGATGCCAATCCTGACATTGTTGAACTACAGAAGCAATATAAGGAACCATCTTCCCTCAGTGTTCTTATTATGTCAGAAAAACTAATAATACTGTTAAATAGGTATTCTGTTCTATGCAGTCAGTGATTCATAACTTTTTAAATAGCATTTTTCTCCTTTTGGGTAGCAATGCCAAGACAAAGTCATTTTATTTTTGGAGTAAATTATTTAAGATAGTATCTCATCAGAAAACCCAAACAGTAGGTGTTGCCCGGCTGGTATGGCTCAGTGGATTGAGTGTTGTCCCATGAACCAAGAGGTCCTGGGTTCCATTCTGGGTCAGGGCACATGCCCAGGTTGTGGGCTCGATCCCAGTAAGGGGCATGCAGGAGGCAGCCAATAGAGTTTCTCTGTCGTCGATGTTTCTATCCCTTTCTCTCCCTCTCCTTTCCTCTCTATCTAAAAATCAATTAAAGCATTTTTTTTTAAGTGTTGGGCCACACTAGTTTTAATTCTGAATTTCCCTCTGGCTAAGGAAAGAGCACAGTGTTCCTCACAGCTCTCTACCTGTGCTTTCCCCTTCAATATTCACTTCGATATTTTAAAACATCTAAAGAATCTTAGCAGGGCTCTATCACTGAAAAAGTAGTAGTGAGATGATGACCTTTCAGATACAAGTTATTTGAATCTCTCTACTATCCTTTGGCCTCCCCCTGCTCCTGAGGGGCGATTGGGGCAGCAGCCCCCACTCACACCCACTCCTGGCACCGGCCCCAATCACTCCACGCCTGAGCAGTGGTGGCAGGAGCAGGGGCTGCCAGCAGACAGAAGATGGGCCACTGCAGGAGGTGCTGGGTGGGGCTGTGGAGGATGGGCCAAGACCCACCCCTGTGCCACCGCAGCTTCTCGGCCCACAGTTCCTTTCAAGGTGCACGAATTCGTGCACTGGTCCCCTAATATATCCATAAACAAGGTAGTATTATTATGTGTTTTAATACTTTAAGCCAGCCTTATCTAATGCAAATATGTCAGCCATGTGTGGAGCTTTAAATGTTCTAGTAGCCACATTAAAAACAGGTAAAATTTAATATTTTATTTAAACCAATGTATCCAAAATACTACCATTTCAACATGTAATCAACATAAAGAATTGTTAATGAGCTACTCAATATTCTGTGTTTTAAATTTCTGCTACTAAGTCTTTGAAATCCCACTAGTAATTGATACAGCATGTCTCAATTCCAATGCTGAATTTAGATTTCATAAAGTTTAAGCTGAAAAAATAGACTCATATATTCTGGTTGTTCCACACATACTTAAAAGTTTTCAGTAACTGAAATCAGTTTTTAAAATTTAAAAAAACATTAAATTAACAGTTCCATTTTTCAGTTGCAATAACCATATTTCAAGTGTTCAATAGCCACAATATGCCTAGTGGACACCCAGCGCAGATTGAAAAGATAACACAAGGCACTTACCATCTCGCATCTATCTTTTGACTATTCAATGTATGTAATATTTTAATTCTTTTGCTTTCCTTTGCCATACCCTAGAACGGAAGCACACAGAATGGATGGCTTTGAATTTCAGGGCAGATGACATTTTACATTTTTAAAAAAGTCATCGATCACTAAATTTACTCAGGAAGTGAATTTTCAAAAACAACACCACCCAAACCCTATTGGTTTGTATTTTCTTTGAACAATGGGATTGTTAAACAAGGTGTATTTACTGATTAGGACAGGCAGTTAACTAGCCAAGGTGCAGCTTTTATATTTGCCACTCCCATCCTTCTACCCGGCTCTCCACAAGCGCACACACACACACACACGCACACACCCTGCCAACACGCGCGTGCGACAACCCAGGAAACGCGGTTTCTTTCTCCCCTGCAGAAACTTTCTGAGAAGCACTCAAACTAATTCGGTATTGGTAGGGTTCCCCGTTCCCTTTTTAAAAACATTAGACTCCGCCCTCTCCAGGTTCATTCCAGGAGAAATGAAAAAGATTGGGGGTGGCGGCCAAAATAAGGCCTGTGAAAGTCAACTAGTCAGTAGCTCCACGTCAGGAAGCCGCAGACGTTGTGAGCCCAAGAATAAAACACCGTCCTTGCAGGAACATGCAAAAGATTTCGAAACGGCCTTCTGCCCAGGCATTGGTGAGGAGACCGCCCCGAAGCAGGCGTTCTTAAGTCGCGTCAATGAATGGAACGGCCATTCAGCCCCGGTGTTTGCTGCGGGACCTCCAGGACCCGCAAAGCGCCAGCTCGCCCGAGTTGTCTTTGGTTTGGGTTTCCCACAAAAGCGTGGTCACACCAAAAACTTTTTAAATCACAAATACGATAACGACCCCGAAACTTTTTTTCCAGCGCCCTCACTCTCCTCCTACCCCTGCCCCCCTCGTTTTGCGCTTCGCTTCCGGAGTTGAGTGACCTCGTCGTGTAGAATGCCAACTCTACAAAATTCCAGGAGCTAAATACCAACCAACCAACCAACCTCCCCGCAGGGATTAGAAACTGGAAAACGTAGCAAACCCCCACAACACGCCCCTGTTTTCCCCGAGGTTTAAAAAAAATAATAAAAAGCCCGGCCCATTGCGGCGCAATGCATGCTAGGATAAGTAGTTCCTCCAACCCGCGCGGCGCGCGATCAGGACAAAGTTTAGGTTGACTGCCCAGAAGAGAACTACAGTTCCCGTCGTGCCTTGAGGTAGAATGGAAGGGGCGGGGCGGGAGAGGCCTTATTGCGCTGCGCTGGTTCCAGGGCCCGAAGGGAAGCGGAGACCCAGCGGTCCAACTGCTGAAGAGTCCTCATGTAACAAGGAGCTGGGTTCCAGCCTCCTGTCGCCCGCCCGACTTGTGGTTCCTGATCCAAGCCCTTGTCCACTGCCCGGAGCCCCGCAAACCCCTATCAGGCCGGGGAAACCCCAGTTGTTCCGGCCGTGCCGCGCCCCAAGGACTAG